TTTCTCAGATTTAAAAAAAAAATTGAGATTGGATGATTAATTTGTGGATTTGTTTTTTAGGGTTATGCTTGTCGGATGGGGAGGAAACAATGGTTCAACATTGACTGGAGGTGTTATTGCGAATCGAGAGTACGTTTTTTTTTTTGTTTTGAAAATCTAATTTTATGTTGATTTTGTAATGAGATTTTGGGATTCTAAATTATGGGTTTTGATTGTTTATGGCAGAGGAATTTCATGGGCAACGAAAGAAAAAGTGCAGCAAGCCAATTATTTTGGGTCTCTTACTCAGGCATCAACAATTCGAGTTGGGTCTTACAATGGCGAAGAGATCTACTCACCCTTCAAGAGCCTCCTTCCCATGGTACTCACCTTGTTTTGTTTTGTGTTTTCAAAATTGGGGGAATGGGGTGTGGAGGTGGGGGAGTATAAGGTTTAGAATCGAATCCTCGCTAATAAGCTGAAAGTTCAGATAGTTAACCAGTTGTTATTCTAATTCCCAAATTGGTTAATTTGCCTTTAGTAAAGTTACTTTATGTGGCTTTATGGATAGTTAAATACTAAGAGGATATACTTCAGCACTTTCCGGGTTGTTTGGTTTGTGAACAAGTTATGCGGAGGTAGGATTTTGAGTTTATGAGTTCTAGAATCGAAAAGAAGAAAGTTATGGGGTTTTTGACAAATGACTTATTAAGTGGATATTTTAACACAAATACAGGGTTTGTATCAAAGTTAGTGGGTTCTACTGAACTCGTAATTGAAATGTTAGGTTCGCCCCTACGTGATAATTATATTATAGGTGGTTGATGTGATTGAATATTTAGTTGATATACTTGTACTGATAAATGTTTGGTTCTCTGGACTAAAAAAAGATGTAAAGGATGATAATCCTGCGATTGCTTATATACCGGATCAAAAGTTTAACCAAACACATGATAAAATAATCTCTTTTTGTTCCGGGATTATTATCCGTTATGCTTGCAACCAAACGACCCAGACTGTTTAACAACTCTTTATAGCATTAGTCATGGAAAGTTGCTCTGTTTTATAACCTGTAATTACTGTTTAAATGACATGAAGTTAGATTCACACTGATATATTTGATCTGATGGTGATATAGGTCAACCCAGACGACGTAGTATTTGGAGGATGGGACATTAGCAACATGAATTTGGCAGATGCCATGGTCAGGGCTAAGGTTTTCGAAGTTGATCTGCAAAAGCAGCTGAGGCCCTACATGGAATCCATGGTTCCTCTTCCTGGTATCTATGACCCTGACTTCATTGCTGCTAACCAAGAAGCACGTGCCAACAACGTGATCAAAGGAACCAAGAAAGAACAAGTTGATCAAATTGTTAAAGATATTAGGTAAAAGTTATAATCTTGATTAACCGTCTTCAATCTTGAACAAAGTTGTCTGTTTTTTCTGGAAAAATGATGTGATTTTTAGTTTTAGAGTGTAAATAACATGTCTTCTTGGTAATTTAGGGAGTTCAAGGAGAAGAACAAGGTAGACAAGATAGTGGTTCTATGGACTGCCAACACCGAAAGGTACAGCAATGTGGTTGTTGGCCTTAACGATACCATGGAAAACCTTTTAGCTGCTGTGGATAGAAATGAGGCTGAAATATCTCCTTCTACATTGCATGCTATTGCTTGTATTCTGGAAAATGTGCCTTTCATCAACGGAAGCCCTCAAAACACTTTTGTTCCAGGTCTGGAATCTCGGTTACAATTGTAATGAGTTATTGAAAGTGTAATTGCTGCTGATGACTAGCTATAGCTTAGCTTCTATAATTTTTAAGTATTTTCTTCTGATACAATTTCTCAGGTCTTATTGATTTGGCCATAAAGAGAAACACTTTAATTGGTGGTGATGACTTTAAGAGTGGTCAAACCAAGATGAAGTCCGTGTTGGTTGATTTCCTTGTTGGAGCTGGTATTAAGGTATGCCTTTTGCTGTTAATTCTGGTAGAATGTTTAACTGTTGAAGCACTTACATAAGCATACTTGTCATTTGAAGATGGAGTTTCTTTATAGAGAAATAGTATAGCCGTGCTGAAAGTCGTGGTGTTTGTATTACAGCCAACGTCAATAGTGAGCTACAATCACTTGGGTAACAATGACGGAATGAATCTTTCTGCTCCTCAAACCTTCCGGTCTAAGGAGATCTCAAAAAGTAATGTTGTTGATGACATGGTTGCTAGCAACTCCATTCTCTATGAATCTGGCGAGCACCCTGACCATGTCGTTGTGATCAAGGTAATAATATAACGTGAGAAAGTTAAAGTTAAAGTGCATAAACAGGCATATTAATTTGTCTAAATGAATGTTTGATTTTGTATTTCAGTATGTTCCATATGTTGGAGACAGCAAGAGGGCAATGGATGAGTACATGTCAGAGATTTTCATGGGCGGAAAGAGCACCATAGTTATGCACAACACTTGTGAGGACTCTCTTTTGGCAGCTCCAATTATCTTGGACTTGGTCCTTCTCGCTGAACTCAGCACTCGCATTCAGCTCAAAGCTGAAGGGGAGGTCAGTTTCTTTCTCAATGTCTTCAAAGATTTACACTTCGTCACGTTGTGTGTACCCTTAAATGTTGTGTGATTGTTCTGATGAGAAGTGATTCTGTTTTCAGGGGAAGTTCCACTCCTTCCACCCTGTGTCTACTATTCTCAGCTACCTCACCAAGGCTCCCCTGGTAAAGTTTCTATGAAGGTTATTTTTATTATGTTCAAATAGACTCAAAAACTATGTTGCTCAAACTCTCCAAAAATATTGCCACAGTCGTGTAGGATCCTCCAAAAATACACTACTTTGGGAGGATGCGACAGACAACCGTTGGAATTTTTGAAGAGTCTGAGCAAATAGCTTAAAAGTTAACTTTGTGCAATTATCAAGTGTAGACGAAAAAGTTGTCTTAGTTTGGTCAGAGCATGTGCTAGAGCTATAGCTGATGTGAAATAGTTGGTTTCTTTCATTCATTTAAAGTAAATGACCAGAGCAATCTGTGGTCCACAGATAAATTAGAAATGATGCCAACACAAAAGCAGTTATTATTATTATCTCCATATGGACATAGTCTAAAAAATATTCAAAGGTCACAACAAACTAAATAAGACTTCACATGGGGATCACAAAGGGTATTGTTTATGTTGCTCGGTCTCTTCCAAAAGTGCGTGTCGGATCCTTCAGAAGTATTGGAGGATCCGGCATGAGCGTGACATCATTTTGGAGAGTCCGAGCGACACAGACATGAACAGGTTTTGCAAAAGGATAGAATGTTTCCTTATGTATGCGAACAGATTGTTCTTGATCACTTAGCTCTATTCTTCTTTTTGCTTGTAATCTGTTGATCCTCTTAGTAACAATTTTTCAGTGTGCCTGCACGAACGCGATTTTTCTTTTATTAACTGTTGTTGTGAATTGGAAAACAGGTACCACCAGGTACTCCAGTGGTGAATGCCCTTTCAAAACAGAGGTCAATGCTTGAGAACATAATGAGAGCTTGTGTTGGTTTGGCACCAGAGAACAACATGATTTTGGAATACAAATGAAAATATAAGCAGATGAAAGAAATTACAAGAAGAGAATGGACTCAACTCAAGTGCAGTTGCATTTGTAGAAAAGATCCATTCTCTATTTATTTATTTTTCCCTTTTATATCTTATATTTTCTGTTTTCTATTTTCTCATCATCATATAATTAAGAAAAGTGTGGCATGATTGTGAAGTGTAGGAGAGCTTAAAAGGGCCAAAGTCTTGTTTATTGTAACTTATTCTCTTAATGTTTTTGGCCCTCTTATCTCCAAATTGTATTGTTGGTTGCTTTAGCTCAGAAAGCCAGCAACATCTTGTTTCTATTGAAAAAAAAAATACAACATGGTGATTTAAATTTTGATTTAGTAATTCACATTTTCCCCTTTATTTCTAAGAGTTTAAGTTGTATGTCCTAACAAGGTGTAGCCACATTAAGCGGAGGTTAGTAGTTATTATGGGTGCATATTTAATTTTACACCTCCGTAGCATAATTGAGAAGAAAAACTCCATATACAATATTTTTACACAATTAGATCACTTATATAAGGTAAATATACAAGTACATCTTTGACAAAGTAAACATTTAAGGAGTCATTTTGTTTGAATTTAAGTTATGATGAGATAAGTTATGCTAAAATTATTTTTTATTGAACGTTTGGTTTGTTGTATTTAAAATAATGAATTTTAAAAACAATTTATTTGTTTACAAAAATATCCTTCATAAATGTGAAAAGTGAGGTATAAAAAGGGTTTAAAGGGATATTTTTATCATTTACTTATTTTATCCTGGAATAAGTTATCTCGGGATTACTATACCACCCAAGGAGAGGAATAACTTATTCCGGTGCTAATTATTAATCTCGAAATAAGTTATCTCAAACTTGCCAACAAAACAATAAATTAAGTGGCATTATAGGAGATCTGAAAAGATCATTTTTTTTCTTTACATTGTGTAAATGGTTCGTACATGATCTTCATTTTTACACCATAGAGATTTGAAAATGACATTTTCTTCTATTCAAAATACAAGTGAACGAGAGCTCATTACGTCTAAAAGGAATATAAGTTAAAATATGTAATTAATTACTCCCTCTATCGACTATATCATACCTATCCAATATACTCAATTTATTAGTCTAGTTAAAAAAAATCAAGAGATTCATTTATCACGTAATTTCTAACTTTTTCTAATTATTAATTATAGTCATTTCACAAAATATTAAATTTATTATATTTAAAAGGTGATATAGTAAACTTATTATTTTTCTTTGTTTTGTTCTTTAAGGAGTGTGTCATTTCAATACTGAACAAATAAAAATGAAGATAACGCGTTACTAAAACTTTTACCTGAAAAATAACACTATAAACATTTAAATTACACTAATATATACAAATGAAGTTGTTTCTTTTCTACTTAATTATTAATAAATACACATCATGTTCTTCTCTTCTCTCCTTTCTTTTCCAAAATTACCCTTCAAGCTGCTGCAATAGTTTTAGTCTTGCCAGAATTTTCAGAGTTAGCAAAGGGCAATTCTGAGTAATTTTGATAATTTTCATTCTTCTTTTTAAGGACAAGAAGCTTTAATTTCTCTTTTCTTTTATCACTTTTCATTTGTTGTTCCCTACACTCCATACTACAAAATGCTGTATCACCCCTGTTCATGAAAAAAATAATATATTTAGTATAATTTTATACGTGACCGATATAAAAGGGATTAGGTGTAAAGAAATTGAAGAATATTAATCAACAATTTGATTAATTATCTAATATGTTGAGATGATCAATAATATAAAATGTGATAGTATAATATATACCAAGTATATGTCAATAATTGTTGCCCCACAAATATTTTAAAATGAATTCTTCATACCTACTACATAATAATGCAATAAATCAAATAAGAAAATGACAAAAATGATCCCTCATTTGAAAGGTAAATTCAAAATAGTCTTTTAGATATATTTTCAACAATTTAGAAAAAGGTGTATTTTTAATAAACTCTTGTCAGTTCGATATAATGAAAATTATACTTTATCTTACTTTTTGATTTTTTTTACTACCTGTTGTTTTTATTATATGCTTAGGTTATAACATTATTGTTGATATTCTTTCCATCATTATTTTTAGTATGACTATTTCATTATTGTGTTCCTTTTTTGTATTTTTTTTACATGCGTTATTAGACAAAGAATTTATCGGAAACAATTTCTCTTTCTTTACTCGGTGGCGGAGCTAGGAATTTCACGAAAGGTATCTAAAAAGTGAAATATAAAAGGTGTTGCTAGTGAGATTTAAACACATGAGCACCCTAAGCACAGACTCTTTCAAGGTATCTAAAATCACTAGGCTACAACACCTTATTCTATCAAGAGTGTCCAGAATATGTTAATCACTTCGTGTATTATTTTACTTATATATACGATATTATTTTTCGACGAAAAATGTCCAATTAGACACCCTGACTATAACATAATCACACCCCTGTTCACAAGATAAGATTAAGACTGCATATACACTATTTTCTCGATCCTAACATCACTTATAAAATCGCACTAAACATGTTGATGTTACTAAAATACACTATCGTTAATATAAAAAAAAATTCATTACACTATCAGTATATATATACAATTACCTATACATGTAGATATCACGAGAAGGTGTCAATCGATGGTTACAAAGTCCACAAGTTGTCAAGAAATGAGCTTTTTCTTCTATATGATGATGAAAACCTTGATAACTTGAACTTCTATGGTGATATTTTGATGACACGTGTCGATGATCATGACCATACAATCCATAATTAGTACCAAGATCAAGATCAGACGGTTTTCCTTCTCCATTGATCATCACATCAACGGTAATCCTTGTTGTGCTTGTTGTTCTTCTCATTTTACCTATCATATTCTTCTTTATAAAAGGGCAATTTTTTTTAAAAAAAATTTATAGAGAAATTGGAAGGGAAGAAGTAGAGATAAATGAAATGAAGAGACAAATATATATAGAAAAATGGTGTGTGAGAGAGTTAATCTAAGCCCTTTATTTTTATTTCTTTATGTACTAGAGATAAGAGATTATTTCATCACTCTTTATGTCAAAGTGTTGACTTTGAGGGTGTGTTCATTTATTTTCTTTGTGTCTAAGTAAAAAATATTATGAAAGATGGAGGTAGATCAGGTGGAAATATGAGTGTGGTATGTGGACGATTGGTGAGAATAATGGAGATTACAGGGTAGAAATAAAAATGAGGTGTGTTGCATATGAGTGTGGCCAAGTGGTAATCGAGGATGGAATTATGGGGTAAAAATATAGATGAAGTATGTTGAATGGGTAATTAATGTGAAATATTACTTGTAAAACTTATTTTCTCTATTTTGACCGAAGAAACCAATCACTATATTTTTAAGAAACTACTTTCATCGTTAATTAATTTTTCCTATTTGAAATTTAAGTTATGAGTTTATTGATTCAAAGCAATAAATGTGTTCACGAAAAATGAATGCTATGTATCTATTAATTTGATTTTAAACATTATTGGTACGTGCAGAGTAAATAGATATATATGCATCATTTTTTTAATGAGTTAGGTAAATTTATTCCTTTTTGCTTTTAGTATTAATCTATTTCCTTGACATATTTGTTAATTTAAAATTTATACAATAAATCGTAAAATTGAAGAGTATATTTATGCATTTCTCCTTTTATTATTAATAAAAAGATCTGACATATTTGTTAATTAAAAATTTATAATTTATAAGTGACATTTTTATTATAATTTTTCTACATCAACATTTACCATTGAATATATATACAATATAAATGTTCATAGTTTACTTCGTCTCTCTTTTAACTTATGGTTACTAATTGTATACTCTCATGTCAATTCACTACTTAAACCCCACAAACTTATCTATGATAAAGTTAGTGTGTTTTGACGTAACAATGAATAATTTTTTTAATAAGATTGACTTGTTTTTTGTTTTTATTGGTGTTTGGTGTTCATATTAGAGCTTCAATTAAATTTGGATTGTGCACATATTCGGAATTCAAATTCAAGATCTTTAATTAAGAATGAAACAATCTCACTATTGCACCTTAACCAATGTTGGTTAATAAGACGACTTGTTATGCCATCGTTTGGTATAATGGTGCTTTTTTACTTTAAAATATATTTAGAACTGAATAAGGACGGTCACTTTGCGATATTGTGCTTAATTTCAGTTTTAAATTATAGCAAGCTTGTTTCATAGTTTTCGATCTATCCAGAAAATTATATATTAATTATATTAATTTTCATTTATGCAAAATTTAATTTTAAAAGTTAAATAAATGTTCTGGTTTAGTTCCCAAAATGACCGCATTTAATCTCACTTAATGAATATCATCAAATAATTAGATTCTTTTTTCCCAAAACAAAGGAATAAATCTAATTTGACCAGAATTTTCTAAAAAAAATTCAGACACTAAATGTAATTAATTGTTAGTTGGGCAATGTTGTTTTCAAGAACAAATCAACACAAACAAACAAAAAAGTAAGATATTTTTTTATTGTGCTAGTTTCTTAGTCACCCTCATTTTCTTTATTGCCACTAGCGTTAATACTTTTTTTAAAAAAAAATCCTAACTCAATTTCAAATGCTAATTTATAAAGAAAAATGTCAAGTTCGTATAAGGAGACCAAATACTCCCTCTGTCCCTAATTATTTATCCACATTTCCTTTTTTAGTTGTCCCTAATTACTTGTCCATTTTGACAAATCAAGAAATGACAATTTTTTTTTTACCTATTATATCCTCAATTAATTACTTTGAACAAGGTAGAACTTCTTGAAAATATTAAGTTTTTAATTCATCCACTTCATAATTAATAGGGGTAAAATGGTAAACTCACTATGTCAATTATTGATTTCTTAAGGGAAAATTACGCAGTTAAGCAAACTTATACTACTTAATTACTCATCATAGCTATAATTTGCTATAATTACCACTCGCGACTAACATTATACATTAATTACGTGGGCTGCTTCGAGTTTGTATAATTAGTCACGTTTGTATATGTATAATTCGTCAGAATAAACAAATACATATGTATAATATCTAACTGATATACATATACAATTTACCTCTCTCGCTCGCCTCTCTCCTCCCTCTCCCAATCTCGCTTGTCATATATACAAATGCATATGTATAATATACAATTATCTAACCGATATACATATATAATTCACCTCTCTCCCACTCTCTGACCTCTCTCCTCCCTCTCCCAATCTCGCTTGCCATATATACAAATACATATGTATAATATACAATTATCTAACCGATATACATATACAATTCACCTCTCTCCCACTCTTTGCCCTCTCTCGCTCGCCTCTCTCCCAGTCTCGCTCGCCTATCTCCTCCCTATAACATGTAGCTACGTATTGTAATTTTCAAACTATAACTGTGGAGAGTAATTAGGCTATTTTTGAGTGGCTATATGTGAACGTTCCTCATTTCCTAATAGGTGTGTCAATTCAAAAGTGGACAAGTAATTAGGGACATAGAGAGTAATAAGTAATCCATCCATATTAATGTGAGAGACTTAATACCCTCGTCACGCCCAAGGATGAATCAAAAACAACATTAGCGGAACACAAAAATTGGGATAAGTCTGACTTACTCTAATATCTTGATGAATATAAGATATGAGTCTATTCAACTTCAAAAGCTAACTTGTAAAGGAATAATTGCACAAATCCATATAAGGGTATCAAAGGACTCACCCTCTACCAATGTTGTGGAAGACCTAACAACTCTACTTATACAATCCTATAATAACTCTGCTTATATAATCTTTGAATATATTATTGTTATTGCAACTACTTGTAATACCTTTTTCCTTTTCCTTTTATTATTTGGACTAAGTGGTGATGATGAAATGAGAAAATGATGTAAAAATTTAAATTTGCTTTTTGGTACTTTAAAAAACTTTAGATAAGAAAATGACATTCCTATCATTTTTTTAAAAAGAAAAATAAAAAAAATATCAACGGTAGGTTTTGTGGGATTGTGGACCCTAACAATTAAAATTAAAATTAAAAGATTCAATGGGCTATGAATATTCTAAATTCTTCCTTGTTTTAAGGTATTTTTATATTTTCCATAATTTTGGGGGTTTGAGTTGGGGTGGGTTAAGGTATTTTCCTCTTAATTTTTGTGCTTATTATTTTATTTTTTAAGATAAGATACACTTAGTCATACTTTAATTAGTGTTTGTGATATTTGATTATGTATATTTACTTTTTAATTAATTAAAATGTGAATATTTGATGTATTTATTTGTGAGTATTCATAAATTATCAGAATTATTAATCGTCTCACTATTTAATTATTCATGTGGTATATTAAGTTAATAATTTTTTGGTGTATTTGCTTGATGAATTTTAATAATTTTTTGATATTATTAACTATTTCCCTATTTAATTATTTATTTATTATGTTATAAGATGGTATTGTTATCTCGTTTTAAATAATAGAATACTTCTAAATATAATTTAAATACAACATATTTTCATAAAGGAATCAAAATCACACATCTTAATTTGTTGAAGGTGAGATATATCAAAGTCATAATATATTACAAGGATCTAGAATTTGTCCTCCCTAGTTTATTTATCCTTACAATCCCTTTCTAAAATTTTGTTTATTCTTAACATCAATTTCTAAATTCAAACTTGATAGCAACTAATTTCCCCTATTTTTCAATTGCAACACCCAACTCCCATAAATAAATAAAAAATTGGTCATTTGTCAATTAGTTCAATCTATCCCCTGTGTTCATTTACAATTTGAATAGATGAAAATATTTTTTATAAAAATTGTTTCCTTCACGGATATATATATATTAAAAAGTTACAATGAAAGCACCAATGTAACAAATCCGAATTCCACTATATTAATAAACGATCTGAAACCTTATTACAACTTTAGAATTGTAATTGCAATACTCAAACTACGGAAATACACTAGAAATATTGAAATAACAAGCAACTAAAGATAGAGATAAGAATGAGATGAGAAACTTAGACTCTAGAAGAAGAGGAGAGGACAACCATTTTCTTCAATATGCATAATTCCTAAATCAGTGACCGCTGCCCCTTTTGATAGAACCATTCTCACACCCACTACTCGACCCGGATCCCAAATTAACCTGGTCCTATTGCTTGTTCTCGGCCCAATAGCTCTTTTCAGTCCAATAACTACTTGTGTGACCTTGGTATCCGTATTAAATTGGACTTGGTTCACAACAATTTTTATAAAAATTGTTTCCTTCACGGATATATATATATATATATATATATATATATTAAAAAGTTACAATTAATCTAAACTTTTTACCTCCCATTTACACACACGCCATTATATGGTTTGACATACAATTAAATCATTTTCAATAGCTAATATGTGACACAAAAGTGTGAATTATTGGGACCAAAGTAGGCCATAACCTAAGTGCTCTTTGACATAAGACTACTAAAAAGTGATGGATAAAAAAAAAGATCAAAAAAGAAATTTTAGAAAGATAAATGTCTTACTCATGCTATTGATCATAAAGCTCCAAAGCAAAATATATTAAAAATAATTTCATGCATCTGTAACAGTTAATCGGCAGAATCGATTTTGTAGGGTATTAACAATTTTTTTTTAATAATTCTTTTTATTGTTTATTTATAAAAGATTTTATTTTTATACGTAAGAGTCATAAAGGTTATTTTTTTCTATTATATTCATTTTGTATATGGTCAAGAGATCTTAATTCTTGTACACCAACGCATATCAAGCATCTTATTTGATAAATCTGAATATGATATGAGGAAATGTTAGATCACAACCTATAATTTTTAGACGTTAGACAACAACACAATATTTCATCA